TGATGAGTTATGCCACTAGGTTAGATTATCTAGATGTTGGTTAGCCTCTCAATCCCAAGGATACATTTATACCTCTCTTTCCATTATTGACTCATTCACATACGGTTATAGATTGCTCACTTACTGAGTGGGCTAGCTCTGGAATGTTGAGTCTTAAGAGTAGATTTGAAAAGACCTAGAAAATCTTTCTGCTGCCTTTAACCGCCCCCATTTATTTCTTCGTTTAACACATGTCATTCTTACAAGTGAAATTCAGGCGGTAATTTATGTGCATTGAATGCCCACCTCTCTACTTTTAAAATGATCAACTGTTCTGTGAAAGGCAATATATTTCCAAATATTGTTACAAAGGAGTTTACAAAATTATTTAATTCTCTAAAAGAAGATCTAGATGGGATATGAGAACATTGAGCAGCTTATAAGGGGAATAGAGAAGGGATTGAAAAGGAGGTGAGGAAATTGAGAGGCACTATGGTCTCTGGAGCCTTTACTCAGGATTGGCCCTAGGAATGTAGCTGCTGAGCCCAAGACCCTATGTTCTTCAGTTGAACTATCAACATCTCCTAGAGTAAGCACAGTGCATAAAAGATTCCATCCAGGACTCACTTGCAGCTTACTGGACTTCGTGATCATTTTCCTGGGGTATATGCTATTTCAAAATACTAAAAACCATTTCCTGATATATAGCTAGAGCAGTGATTAATTTGGGTATTCCTTCCTCTCACTGGACAAGAGAACCTTTGGTAGGAAAAGAGATCATCTGTAATTTTTAACTATCGGCTAAAAATTAAATATTACATATAAGACCTGATAAATTTAAACTTACAGACTAAATTAAGGGTTATGTTTCCATGTTAAGAAGCTTCATGTTTGGGGGGTGCCTGGGTGGCTCAGTTGGTTGAGCTTCCGACTTCATGATCTCATGTTTTGTGAGTTCAAGCCCCGCATCAGGCTCTCTGCTGTCAGTATAGAGCCCACTTTGGATCCTCTGTCCCCTTGCTCTCTGCTCCTCCCCTGCTCATGCTCTCTCCCTCTCTCAAAAATAAATAAAACATTAAAAAAACGAAGAACCATCATATTTTATTCTTTGATAAGCAAAATAAAAATCTATATATAGGATACACCCATTTTAGAGAGTTTGAAGTAAATATGTATTGATAATGGCATCTTTGTTTTTAAATTTTATGATATGAAAACATTAATTTTTTAAGCATGGAAGAGGCGTGACATTAAATTAAAAAATAGGTATAGAATTTGCATGCCAGTAACTTTAGATGTGTAAAAATAAAATGCAATTAGTGTAGTTTTAAATTTGACCAATTAAATTCTGCAGATCATCTGCATACTCCAGCGATGTGGACGTAAAGTCACTAGAATTTGTTTTTAATTGGACATATACTGACTAGTCATGTGGACATTTTATGTTTTTGCTTATAAACTATAAGTCCTTAGATTTGAAAACACAGTAACTTTGTGTAACTGGATGTAATTATTCCCGACAGGATTTAAATCAACTCCTTAGCAGTGTTTTACAGATTACTTTACTTAAAACAAAATTTTTTTTAATGTTTATTTATTTTTGAGAGAGGGAGAGAGACAGAGTGTAAGCTGGGTAGGGGCAGAGAGAGGGAAACACAGAATCTGAAGCAGGCTCCAGGCTCTGAGCTGTCAGGACAGAGCCTGACACAAGGCTCGAAATAACAGAACGCGAGATCATGACCTGAGCTGAAGCGGGGTGCTTAACCGTCCCACTTCCGGGGACGGTTATTTCCGCATGATCTGTATTTTCTATTTTCTACACCTAAGGGCTGCATTTCCCTTAGGCCCAAAGTGTGTGTTTAAAAATCCATCCTAAATTAGGTACATTGGTTTAGAGTTATCCTATTGCTACTGATTTAAAAAGGAAAGAAAGAAAAAAAAAGGTCTCTGAATCTGCCAAGTGTGGGGTTAAAGGTTGGAAGGGGATTTTTATGCTGTTGGAGAAAGATAGTTCAGCATAGTCAGAAGATTTGGAATAGATTACTGGTATAGTCAGTTCTTGAGTGTGAAATACCACACTGTCTAATAGAACATTTTAGAAGAAAATAAAAGATAAATGCAAGGAAAGATGCATCTTCATGAAACAGAGTAATTTCAACTGTTTATTCAAGGACTTTAATTTTTACTTCATAAAAAATAGTGTTCTGAACTCATGAACCTGAAGTGAACCCCACAATACCCTAATTCTTGGTCTTTAAGAAGTCTGGAAGGCATGACCAAAATGAAGTCAATCTGTAATTGTTAGCACTTAGTTCAATATCTCTTAAGAAGCACAGTTCCTTATACTTAGTAACTATTCTCTGTTGAATGAGTGAATGAATGAATGCATGAATGAATGACCTATCAACCACATTTAACTGGCATGTTTAGTATGTGTACTATGTAATTTTAAACGAATTACTGGATCCCACCAAAGTGCAAAATAGCCTTAAAAATAAAGATCCAGAACAAAGATATGAGACTGTGGATATTTTTTATTTTGTTGTTTGTGGTTTGTTTCTTTTCCACATTTTCAACAATTAATGTTATGTAGTTAAGTTTTTTCAAGAAACATACTTGGCTAGAATTTATCTTAAGATCAAACATAAATTTCACCTATAATAACGAATGTCTCAACCTGTGATTCCAATTGCAGAGGCCTTTCTTTTACATTAATGGCTACCTTTAAAAACTAATATAATTATAACCACACAACATTTCTAGGCTTAACTTAAAGGAAGTAGAATTTTTTCTTAACCTGTAGAAACTGAATTGATGTTTCTGGCACTGATGCAGAGTAACAGTTCCATTTGGTAGTGTTGAAAACGTTTATTCTTTTCTGAAAACCAGCCAAGGTATTAAATTGAATGACAACTTTCTTGTTGCAAATCAGATTTTTTTTTATTATTACACATAATTATCAAAGTTGGGTAAAGTTGTTTAAGTCCTCCGTGTAAGTGGGTGGTTTGAGTCTACCCTCTCCAAGTATAATCATATTTGAATGACTTTGAAAAAAATAACCATGATGACTTATAAAAATAATCCCCACTCTTCCTGATAGGAACAACATATTGAACTGGGTGGAAGAACTGTGGCAATTGGAAGTTGACCCTATGACTAATGGTGGAGATTTCTGTCTAGGTGGGTCACATGGACTTAGTTATCTGCCCACTGGAATGACACAATGGGGAGCTAGCTGATGAATATTGTGGAACATCTGTGAATGGATCACAGCTATGCCTGACGTGAATCATTCCTCCCTCAAAAATCTAAAGTTTAATAGTTAAGAAATTCCAAACTGTTGTCACATAAACTGAGATTTGGCCTATTCTAGGAGTTAGGAGGGAATGAATACAGTACATATTCTAAGACATTTTGCCAGTAAGTTGTTGGCTACGTTTTAGGCCCCTAAATTTAGGAAAACCTAAAAAAAAACCTACTGAAAGAGATTAGTAAGAGCCTTGGGTCACTGCAAACAGTAAAATATACCTTTTTCAACTGCTCACCACCATCACGGAGGGTACAGTACTTGGTAATTTTCCTGATCAGAGACATAGATTTCCCTATCTTGCTTAGTTAGAAGTTTGAATTGCATGATGCCTGAGGCACCTCCACCTGCAAAATTTCCACGACTTTTAAAGGGATCTTGGGGCAAGTATTTGGTGTATGACTCTTCAGGTGACAATTTCCTTCAGTGAATGATCTTATTTCACATTGATTTCCCTAATTTGAGATTAAAGTCTTTTCTTCAGGGTGCTATTAAAAGCAACTGGAAAAAAAAAATAAAGGCAAAACTGTAGGTTCATGTGGGTCTGGCTAGGTGTGAAGCTGTGGTTTCCTGGATATATTGCTAATGCTGTTTTTACAACTCTTTGCGGGTAATTTAGCTTACCTGGTTATAGAGAAGAGGTCGGGGAGTCGGGAATAGTTTATGCTTTTATTTCCAATTCCAGGAGTAACCTGCGACCTCTATATGATCTGAAATATATAGCATTGTTTTTAGTTTTACTTTTTCTCTGGTATCTTGGTATACCTAGCTTTGCTTCTTTAGATTCTTCGACACTAAAGAGAAAATGAGACTGCATAAGGTCTACTCACCAGGGATGTTTACAAATAAGATTGTGTCTGTGTGTGTCTTTGTATTTTGTGAATTGTGAGCAAGTTGTGGTGGATACCTTTGCCAATAAATAATTAACACATACTTAGAATTTTACAGTTTTATAATGAGAGTGTTTTTAGCTGTGACAAACAGGTCACATAGACTAATAATCTAAGATAATAATCTACTGAGTTACTATTTCAAGGAATATATATATATATATATCTGTTTGACAATGGTATAATCAACAGGGGGCCAGCTCTGTTAAAGCAAACAGACTAATGGGTTGGAGTGCAAAAGAGGCCCACTGCAATCTCTAAATTCTAGACTTTGTGGGCTTTTAGAGAAATAAAACTATAAGTGGAAGAAAAAGAATGAAATGTGTGAATGTGATGTGTTCCTCACAAAGACTAAATTGATGGGATTTGTCCTATAAAATATCAAAAAGTAAATTTGTCCCTATTGCTTTATTTTTAAATAGATGTACAGCCATTGTTTTGCATTGAAATGTATATTCATACATTTTATCTGATTATATTTTGGGAAAATGAAGTTGGGGGGGATTTGTTTTTTGTTCTTTTTTTTTTAAGGAAAGCACGAAGAAGAATATACAAATGGGAATATTAATTGTTTACAATTGCCAATAGTTTCTTTTCTGAACTTGAAAACAGTTATGTTTCTAAATATGAGAACAATAATTTTGCCTAAAATTGCAGTATAATGACCAGGACTTCTCTCCTTTTTAGAGAAGCAGTGAAGTGTTTCTGGAACAGATAAGACAGCAGCGATCCAGTGAGGTTGATTCCCCAGAGGAAAGCTATGCATACCTAACTTATTGGAAAGTAAACTACTCTTCAATTAATGATGTCCTCCTTTTCTCAAGGTGTCCAAAGACAGGAGGCAGTCTGTAAAAGATTGGACGACAACTCTATTGTCCAGAACAATTACTGTGACCCTGACAGTAAGCCACCTGAAAATCAAAGAGCCTGCAACACTGAGCCCTGCCCACCTGAGTAAGTAAGAGTAAGAAATGAGAATTATTTTTTTTAAGTGCAAAGAGAAAAGCATTAGCTACTCATATTTGGAAACATATTCATATGTTATGAAAAGGGGAGAGAGCATCACAGAGGGTAGATTTTGATATCCCTTTCACTGAGCTAAGATTTCTATTTATCCATAGGTTTCAGTTACTAATCCTTAAAAGCAGGAACTTCAGTAGGTTGATCTGGCACAGTGCTAGAAATTATCATGTTTCATCAATTCTAAGGCACATATCTTTTCACATTTTAACATCTTGGAAATTGAGATTTATCTTGCAATTGATAGTGTGTTACTTACAATAAAAATCATCATTATTTTTATCTTTCTTAATGGTACATAGAATAATGGTATCTTAAATTCAATAAAACACATTAGATTGGTGTGCAGTCCTATCTTTTCCAGATATTTATCCTAAAGGCCTAAAGACTTTTTTTTTTAATGTTTAGTTTTGAGAGAGAGAGAGAGAGAGAGAGCGTGGACGTGCAATTGCGTGCATGAGTGGGGGAGGGGCAGAGAGAGAAGGGGGGTGCAGAGAAAGCCAGGGACAGAGGATCCCAAGTGGGCTGTACCTTGACAGCAGCGATCCCAATGTGGGGCTGGAACTCATGAACAGTGAGATTATGACTTGAGCCGAAGTCAGATGCTCAACCAACTGAACCAACCAGCCGGCCCAAGACTCTTTTTTTAATGTTTATTTATTTATTTTGAGAGAGAGAGAGAGAGTGCAAGTAGGAGACAGGCAGAGAGAGAATCCCAGGGCAGAGCCTGATGCAGGGCTCAAACTGTGAGATCATGACCTTAGCCGAAATCAAGATTCACTTGCTTAATCAACTGAGCCACCCAAGTGCCCCTATAGAGCGTGCAACTCCTGATCTCAGGGTCATGAGTTCAAGCTCCACATTGGGTACAGAGATTACTTTTTAAAAATTAAAAAAAAAAAAAAAAAAAGGCAATGATTACATGAGAAAACACAAAGCCATCCAGGCGCCCCAAAGATACTTGATTTTTTTTTTAAATGTTTATTTACTTTTGAGAGAGAGGGAGAAACAGCACGCAAGCAGGGAAGGGGCAGAGAGACAGGGAGACACAGAATCCAAAGGAGGCTCTAGGCTCTGAGCTGTCAGCACACAGCCTGATGCGGGGCTCCAACCCACAAGATGAGATCATGACCTGAGCCAAGGTTGAACTCTTAACTGACTTGACCCACCCAGGCACACCTATACACATTTGATTTTTAAATGATTTTTTTTCTCTTTTCTGCCAATTATTGTTATAAATTTAACTCAAAAGAAGTGGGGAAACTACACAAGCTATAAAAACTGCTTAAAAACCATGGGCAAAATTTTTTCCCTTCCCATGTTTCTTACAACTTTCAACATTATTTTCATGTAATTGTGCTTCTCAACCCATCAAGTTACTTTCCTGACATTCAGGAATTTGAGTATTATGTTTGACATTTTATCGGCCTTTTAAGACGTCTGAGTGGTCCTGGTCACACCTGTTCTATTTTGGCTTCAGCTTTTTTATTCGTTTAGGCTTAAATGCTATTCGAACACCCCTTGAGATTTCAGTGGTTTGTCATTCCATCCCATGTATTGTGGATTTACATATTACATTGGAGTTGTTTATCTATCTACCTATGTATCTATGTTATATATATAATATAGATCGATATAATAACTATAATATATAATCTATATGATATATATTTATAGTTAGAGATAATTGACATTCAAATTAACATACATAATTAAAATTAAGTTTCTTTTCCTTTTGTAATTCTAAAATAAATTTATTTATTGAGGCACCTGGGTGGCTCACTTGGTTAAGCATCTGACTTTGATTTTGGGTTCAGGTCATGATCTCAGGTTTCTTGAGATTGAGCCCCTGCATTGGGCTCAGTGCTGACAGCACAGAGCTGACTTGGGATTGTCTCTCTCTTCCTCTCTCCCTGCCCTCCCCCCACCCCTCAGCTCCTATGCGTGCCCACACTCACTCTCTCTTGTGCACTCTCTCTTGTACACACTCTCTCTCCCAAAATAAATAAATAAATTTAAGTTATTTATTTTATAAGTTATTTATTAACTTCACTAAAGTTATATAATATTTTTTTTAAGTTTGGAGACAAGAGAATGGAATTGGAAAAAGAAAGATAAAGAGAATATGAAAAAAGAAAATTTAGGCCAACTTCTTTTCAGAAAGAGCTAAAGATATAAAGAGCTTAAAATATTACTCTTTATTAGTCCATATTTTTCTTAGTTCCTTCTTAATTTCTTTTTTATTCCTTTGAATTGAGACTATGAAAAAGAAAATCTCAATTCTTCAGAATGGTTGTTGTATATGATAAAATTCCCAGTAGACCTTGGTATTCTAGAGATAAAAATCATTGAAAGACTAGTGAATTCAATAACACTTTTTTAAAAGTTTGTTTGTTTTTTTGTTTGTTTATTAATTAATTTATTTATTTATTTATTTATTTTGAGAGAGAGAGAGAGCAGGGGAGGGGCAGAAAGTGAGGAGAGAAAGAATCCCAAGCAGTCTCCACGCTGTCAGTGCAGAGCCCAACATAGGGGTTCAATCTCACAAACTCTGAGATCGTGACCTGAGCTGAAATCAAGAGTTAGATGCTTAACTGACTTAGCTACCCAGGCACCCCCAACAATACTTTAAATGAGTATGGAATAAAGGAAAGAAGATAAGTTTTTTTTTTTCACATATGATGTAATAATCATATTTGTTTTTTGTTGTACATATTAAAGCATGAAAATTTTAGAACACAGGTGAGTAAAAATAAGAAAATTAAAAATACTTGTAATACTTAAACTACCACTGTTAATATTTTGATATATATATATATATTTCAGTCTTTTTTTTATGTTTACATTTTCTATGTTTATGTTTTTCTGTTGTTTATGTATATAACAAAATGGTATGATATGATTTATGATGCTTTGTAGTCAGTTTTCAACATATTTTGAACATTAAATATCTTCTAAAATATTCAGTAGATATGTCCCTGTTTACTTAAATTGGTTTTCCACTGTTGAATAACTTTGGCTGTGTCTTAGCTTTTGATCCCTTAACATACCACAGTATTAACATTTTTTGCTACTAAAACTTTGCTCTCTATAATTATGCTGTTATGTTAAATGAATGGGAATAGAATTCCTTGTTCAGATGGAAATATATTTTAGCCTTTGAAACACTGTCAGATTGTTCTCCAGAAATAATATATGAATGTATATTCCCAATAAGAGCATTTTAGAACATCATTTCCCTGAACTGCACAACACTGGATATTATTGTTTTAAAAACAATCTTTGATTATTTTATAGAGAAAAAAGCCTCGGTATCTAACTGTTGTTTTATTTTGTATTTCTTGGATTGCAGACAAGGATGAGCATTGAAAAATTATGTACGGTTGCCATTTGTATTACTTATTTTTGCTTTTCTGATCCATGGCCTATCCTATCCCATTTTTCTATTGAAGTGTTTCTCATTTTGTTACTGATTTCTAGTAACTCTTAATGTTTTAAAGATATTTAGTCTTTTACCTTTGTTCCAAATATTTTATCTGAGTTTGTCATATGTTTTCCATATTTTTATGGTGCTGTTATCTATTTTTACTTATAGAAATTTTAAAATATTACATAGAAAAGCTATCAAACTTTTATTTCTTTCATAGTTTAGGAAGGCCTCATCCACTCTAAGAATGTACTTTTAAAGTTTCTTTCAAAGTTTCTTTTTTAAAAAAAGTTTATATACTGTTTTGAGAGAGAGAGTACATGTGAGTGCAAGCAGTAGAGGAGCTGAAAGAGGGAGAGGGAGAGAGAATCCCATGAAGGTCCCATGCTCAGAGTATAGTCCAATGCAGGGCTTGATGCCACAACCTTGGGATCATGACCTAAGCTGAAATCAAGACTTGGACCTCAAGCAACTAAGTCACCCAGGCGCCCCTCTTCTTTATTTTAAATGTAAACTTTGGGGCACCTGGGTGGCTCAGTTGGTTAGGCGTCTGACTTCAGCTCAGGTCATGATCTCACGGTCTGTGAGTTTGAGCTCCACGTCGGGCTCTGTGCTGACAGCTCAGAGCCTGGAGCCTGTTTCGGATTCTGTGTCTCCCTCTCTCTTTGCCCCTCCCCTGCTCATGCTCTATCTCTGTCTAAAAAATAAATTAAAAATTTTTTTTTAAATTAAAAAAAAATAAATGTAAGCTTTAATCTATTTGAAATATACTTGCCTATTTTGAGGAAAGGATCTGTATTTGTTTTCAAATTCCAAGTACCAGGGTACCTGCATGGCTCAATCAGTTAAGTGTCTGACTCTTGATTTTGGCTCAGGTTGTGATCTCAAGGTTTGTGAGATCAAGTCCCTGTGTTGGACTCTGAGCTGACATCAAAGAGCCTGCTTGGGATTCTCTCTCTGCCCCTCCTCCACTTGTGCATATGCATGTGTGTGCTCACATGTGCACGTGCTCTCTTTCTCTCTCAAAATAAATAAATAAATATTTTAAAAATCTCAAATTCTGAATACTATTAATTTAACATCCTCAATGTTATTTTTTATGAGATTCAGTAAATTTATTTATATATTAATTTTTTAAAAGTTTATTTATTTTGAGAGAGAGAGAGAGCGCACGAGCAGGTGAGGGACAGAGAGAGGGGAAGAGAGAGAATCACAAGCAGGCTCCATGCTGTCAGTGCAGAGCCCAATGTGGGGCTCAGTCTCACAAACCATGAGGTCATGACCTGAGACTAAATCAAGAGTCAGACACTTAATCAACTGAGTCACCCAGGCACCCTGCTAAATGGTATTTTTTAAGTTTATTTATTTATTTTGAGAGGGACAGAGAGAGCATGATCTGGGGAGGGGCAGAGAGACAGAGAATCCCAAGCTGACTCTGCAGAGTCAGGACAGAGCCTGACATGGGTCTCGAGCTCACGAAACTATGAGATTATGACCTGAGCCAAAATCACGAGTTGGACTGACTGAGCCACCCAGGTGCCCCTAAATAGTATTTTTTTTAAATGAGAAATTATCTTTTTAACTAATAAAATGTTTCCAATGTCTCTTATTCATATTGAAGACTTTATAAGCAGGGTATGGAAAACTAGAGGGCGATAAGATTTATCTTTGTGTTTTATAAAAAAAATGACAGGGGGCTAGGAAGAATAGATGAAAGATGCATTGGTAGAGAAATATTAATAGTGTTTATTTGGAAAAACTTAAAGGGCAGAGGAAACCTTGCTGGGAAAATTAATGTGCTCATAGCAGCAACTCTTTTGTGAGAAAGAGTATAGTAATCAAGGTGGTGAGGTGACTAGGGACAGGAAGAAAATAAGAATTCCAGAGGCACTGAGTGAACATGGTGGGATTCCTGACAAAGTCTTAAATAATTGGAAAAGGAAAAGGGAGGGGTTGATATTAAAGTCCATGACTGATAGGAAGGTAGTGCCCCAATCATGAGAAAAGGAAGTAATGCTGAGTTGGAATCCAAAGAGAATGGCCAAGAGTTCAGTTTTCACCATGCTATCTCTCTCTAGCAAGAATGTTTCTATATATGGCCTCCTGTGAAGAATTCTTGGATATTGAATATTATTCCTGTATGACACTTTAGTTTTTAAAGTTGTAAAAATCAGAGGGGTGAAAACAATAGAGTATTATACATTGTGATAATACTGTGACCATGAGTTAAGAAAACATTTTTTAAGCAACTGCAATGTGAAAGGCTCTATGCTTTCAGAAGAATGGCTCACTTGCCTGAGGACAATCTAATCGGATAAATATGTATCAAAATAACTATAGTTAAGGATATGTTAAGTAAAAACAAGAATTTTTAACAAAAGTGCTAAAGGATGCTTGGACTGGGGAGAAATTTTTACTTGCGGGTTAGGTTTTATTTAAAATTGTTTTTAATGTTTATTTATTTTTGAGAGAGACAGACAGAGACAGAGTGCGAGCAGGGGAGGGGCGGAGAGACAGGGAGACACAGAATCCGAAGCAGGCTCCAGACCCTGAGCTCTCAGCACAGAGCCCGACGTGGGGCTTGAACTCACAAACTGCGAGATCATGACCTGAGCCTAAGTCAGATGTTTAACTGACTGAGCCTCCCAGGCACCCCTTCATTTTTTTTTTTTTTTAATTTAGAAAAATCTCACCTGTGAAATGTTTAGGGCATAGAGATTTATGCTTAGTATTAGGTTTACTTTCCAGTTAGTTGAGTAATGAGCAGATTTTCTTTTTACCAACTTAGTGTTTAGATTTTTTTTAACCTGTTTTAAAATATAGTAAAGTTCTAGTATCCTAGTAAGTAGTTAATGGGTTACATATTTGAATCTCTCTTTGAGTAAAGATGTTATTGTCAGATTATGAATTTTTTTTTAATTTTGCTATGTTGTGTTTATGAGAAGAGTTGATAAGTAGATGCTGGACTCCGGGACAAAGGCTGGGAAATCTCTTTCTCTCTGTCTCTCTTTTAATCTAAACATCAAATATCAGTTTATTCTCATATGCTCTGCCATTTCCCTTTAAGTTAAAAGGCAAAAATAATATTCTAGTTTTATGATTGGTTCTTGCTTCAAAAATATTCCAATTAACCTAGGTTTGTGAACATATTTTATAGTGTCTCTCTTATTCCCTCTGCCCCCCCATAATATATTGTTTGTCCTATTAATACACAGACACTGTAGGTCAAGTACACAGATGGCACCACACCATTCTTATTTCAGACAGTTGAACATGAATCCCACTAGTTGTTGTGTCCAATGGATATGAAGACACTTGTGAGAATGTAGACAATTTGATCCCTGGGTGTTGGGAAGAGCTCAGAAAGAAGCATCCCTGGTATTGTTCAGACTATAACAATTCAGCAGTTGACATTTCCAGAGAGAATTTTTGTGTTTTCTACCACAAAATCTAGAGGAGGAAAAAAGGAGAAATGGGGAGAAGGTCATCAGAGGGTCAAATGCAATGGGGAGAGTGAAGGTGAAAGAAGCCATATGTCTTAAACTGGACAGGGGAATAGAGAAAATGAGATGAGTGGATGCAGTGGCAAAATTGCAAAACAAGTTAAATAACTAGGGTGTGATTTAATCCTGTGGAGAGACATGGGAAGGGATGATTTGGTGAGCAATAAAGATGCAACCGGGACTGAAATCAGAGTTCGAGTCAGAAGGGAAATTGGGAGGGTGGTTAATACTTTTACTTTCATACATTCCAAAAAAATGCTCGACTGATGCATCTAGACTAAGAGATGGTTGGCAATAAAAGAGAGGACAAAGAATAAAAAGATGGAGGTGGCCCTGACCTCATGCAGCAAAGAACAGCAACACCTCCTGAATCACTGCTATTACTCTGGGCACCTGTGTTTAATTTGAAGGACTCCATCCCTCTTACATTATGAGACCTAATGAGATCATGGCTGGAGGTGGTATGACTGGACTTTTTGTGGCTGAGTTATACACATTTCTGTTTTATCCCCTAATCTTGGTGATGAAATCACTGTTGCAAATTGAATCAGAGTTTCACTATGGCTGGCATGCAAGTTATTATTCTCAGTACACATTTTCCTCTTTACCAAAAATGGTTCTAACAACTTGGGATCATGTTCATCTGTGGAAAACAAAATGGAAAGAATATGAAAATTGCTTTAAGTCTCCTCTGGAAAATAACTTAGAAAAAAACCCATTAATATCAGATTCTCGGGATTAAATTATTGTTACTTAAATGAATTTTAGGTTGAAAGAGTTTAAGTTTTGGAAAGATGTATTTTAAGTTTTAGAAACTGGTTAATCGCCATATTTCTAAATACTGGTTTTCCACTCTGTAAGGGACAAAGGCCATGGTTGCTCATTTGGCTAACTACAGGCTCAAATTTGGAAACTAGTATTCTGACTTCACTAAAGTACTATCTTCCACATACAAAACTGGCGCAATCACATAAGATCACACTCTTCCCTCCGGATAGTCTCTTACCCAAGAGCATTAGCATATCCTGTGAGGATAGTTGTATGATTTATAATCATGGATGGATGAAAATGACTAGTGACCTCATGCTTCTGACCTAGATCCTACTACTTAGCAGGGTTAAAAATGAAATTCAATGGAAATAGTAACTGCTGGGGGATCTAGTCCTAGTTTCAACATTGCTCTTTTCATGACTTTGGATAACTATTTTCGTGACACGAGCCTTACTTTCTTCTACAAAACAAAGTGTGATTCCTTGAATATAGTAGGCATTCAACATATATTTATTAAATTAAATGCAATAGTATATTAATCAACACTCTGGTTGGAAATAATACAACTTCAACTTCAGCTATTTTCTGCACAGAAGAGGATTTGTTGGTTTACTTAACAAAACTGGGGGAAGGGCAACCATGGATCTAGCTTTAGGAATGGCTAGAATCCAGGACTGAAACAGCACCAGGGCCCTCTAGCTCCTCTGTATTTTTTCACATCAGTTAATTCCACTTGACAGGGTGCATGGCCACCAGCAGCTCTTACAGCTTTATGCACCTTTGTGACGAGAAGGGAAAGGGCTTTTTTTGCTCTAGTGGAGGTATAAAAATTCTAAAGCCAAATTCTCATTGGTCTAATTTGTATCTTGATTCACATCTTTGGACCAAATAATGTGCCTAAAAGAGTGAGTTCTGTAGACGTATTACACACATACATACATACATGGACACACACATACACACCCTAAAATTACATCTATAAAAATTCATTTATGACTTCAAGGAAAAAAGAGTGGTTTACTTGCCAACGTGAAACATGTTCGTTTTGTTATTTCAGTTTCTTCCCCCATTAGCTGCATAGACGCTGTTTTCAGGAATAAAGGGGTCAAAACAAGGGTTCTCTATGTTTTCACAGAGCTGACTCAGGCTCTGCTCTTGGTGCAGGTTTTTAAAGACTTGTATATCTTCAGGCTTTCTCTGCCCCATAAGCATAATAAAGGCCTTCTATCTTCTGCAGAGCCTGCGCTTCATCTGGAAATCAAAAAACAAATCCCTAGCTCCTTTAATGTGGTTTTAGCACTAAATTCTTGATTGTAGGAGAACCTGCTTCAATGTGATAATAAATAAAGCTCCTGTTTCTTGTTTGTTGTGTTTAGACACAATGTTAGAAGCTTTCAGTGGTATGCTAAAGCAAGCTAGCACTGGCTCCTGAAATCCTATTATTAGCATATCTTCTTCTTGTGTTCAACATGCCAGGGTTGTAGGTTGAAATTGGCGTTAGTTATTCACCCCACAAAATTGGTAAATTCAACAAATCAAGATCGCTGCCCTCCATAAAGAGCCAGTTGTTAAACACTTAAGCAGCACATGACTGGAAGCTTCATATTTATTACTTTATTTAATCTTCATCACAGTCTCACAATTTATATTTATATTGTTATCTTCATCTTAAAAATTAGTTTAGAGGGGCACCTGGGTGAGTCAGTTGGTTGAGCATCCAGCTCTTGATTTCTTCTCAGGTCATGATCCCAGCACCATGGGATCAAGCCCCACAATGGGCTCAGTGCTGAGCATGGAACCTGGTTAAGATTTTCTCTCTATCCGCCCCCCACCCTTCTCCCCCACTTGCCTTCTCCCTTAAAAAATTAATTTAGAAAAGGGGAAGTATCAATGTGGTTAAAAACATATGGTGCATTACTTGTTTCGACCAGGCTCTGCCTGTTTCAGAGCCCAGGCACTACACTTTGGAAGGCAGCTGACAGTGTATTCTCTTTTCCTTAGCAGCTCTTCCATTTGTCATTTGTCACCTCAACCAACACTGAAATGTCAGCTCTTTTAGGGAGAGAGTGTAGTCCATTGACGAAAATCTCTGGCTGTACTGAGGAAATGTTTTTCTGTGTTTCTTCCACTTTTTGCTGCAGGTGGTTCATTGGGGATTGGTTGGAGTGTAGCAAGACTTGTGACGGTGGAATGCGCACAAGGGCAGTGCTCTGCATCAGGAAGATTGGACCTTCAGAGGAGGAGACACTGGACTACACCGGCTGTTTAACACACCGGCCTATTGAAATAGAGTCCTGCAACAACCAGTCATGTCCACCTCAGTGGGTGGCTTTGGACTGGTCAGAAGTAAGGAAATCTGAGGCTGTATGTTTTGAGATGTCTTAACTAATCAATACCAGAGCATTTAATAGTGAGGACACCTGAGCTTGTGAGCACCTTAGAACTCAGCAAGTAAGGACTGCCTAACAGTAAATTTGGCCCTGTTATATTTCATTGCTCCTTGTCAGGAAGTAAGGTTTTTCTGGGTCAGGGAAATCAGTGAGAAACTAGACATCAGTTTGATTAAAAATCAACCTAAAGTGAATTGGAAAGAATAGAATAATGAGTACTCACATAAGTGGTTTTTCTCTTCCTTTGCTATTCTCGAGCAGCAAATAAGCTCAGAATTAGTGATAAATCTTTTTTCCCAAGTCATGTTGCAGCCTAACTACATAATTCATACATTTGAATATTTATCAATTTTTTATCACTTATTATATATCTAAGTTTATTTTAATTCCTTCTGTTGCATCTGGGGAAGAAACATGGAGTTGAGGTTGTAATATACAAAGTCCAATTCAGCTTTTATCATTAACCTCTGCTTACATGATCAGTGAGGGAGACTAAGATAATGTTTTTCTGCCTTACATGTATATAAAAGAGCCTAAAATAATCCATAGAGCTCAGAATAATTGCCTTATGAAAAATGAGGAAAGGGGTAGAGTTAATTCTTGACTCCTCGTTCTTCATGAGACATATAAATGGAAACACCATATCATTCTCCACATTTCCCAAAGAAGGGTTGAAATCTTCTGTAATGTTGGTTAATATTAAAAAGAATAAGTACCTGGCTACATAACTAAAGGCCATTCTTCCAAGTTAGCAAAACAGGATGCATTTCCTGCTGGAAACATTGTGGTACTTGCTTTGGGTATTTCCTGTAGACCTCATAAGTTTGTAAAAAAAAAAAAAAAAAAATTAAATAAACAGAAAACATACATTGTTCTTTAGGAACCCCTGGTTGTAACTTTTCCCCCTGTGAATCTTAATGCTGGAGTGGTCTTAATTTGGTAGAGGCCTGAGCCTAAAAGAGAGACTGTGTTTAGGATGGTACATGGAAATGGAGATTCTGACTAGTTGTAGTTATCTATGGAATCTTTGGTGGGAATTGGGAGTGTTCTCCCAAGTTTCCTGGACGTACTCCAGCTTCAGTAATTACATCTGCCTACCTAACTTTTGTGTTTCAATCAAATGTAGATACTCATGGTGAGTGGTTATGGCAAACAGTGTGAACTCTTCTGTTCCCTAGAAGTGAGTGGATTAACTCCTAAATTGATTTGGAAGATAAAATCGACTGATAAATAATAGACATTCTGTAGAGTTCTACATATGTTGAAAATTATTGTACCTTCATTTCAGTGCCCAAGACCCTCACAGAAGTTCATAAGTAGTCATTGAAAATGATGACCAATTTATTATTGAAAATCATAATGGGAGGCCTGATGATTGGCTTCAACAGTTTTAGGGTTTCAGGTCAAGTCCCTAAGTATAATTTAGTACTAAGTAAACACACTGGAATAGGCACTATGAGCAATACAAAGGAATCCTATAAGCTTGGAAAAGTAAATATTTGTGAAGAAAATAGAGAATAACTTTAGACAGTGTTTAATAAAATGGTGGATTGTGAGGTATACATGTATAAATGATATAGAAATTTAGAGCTAAGAAGGTCAGAATAGCTTGGAGTGCAATCAGAAAGCTTTTCATTGGGGCACCTGAGTGGCTGAGCTGGTTAAGCATTGGACTCTTGATTTCAGCTCAAGGCGTGATCTCACAGTTTGTGAGTTCGAGCCCCATGTCAGGCCCTGTGCTGATAGGGCAGAGACTGCGTGGATTCTCTCTCTCCCTCTCTGTCCCTCCCCTGCTCTCTCCCTCCCTCTCTCTCTCTCTCAAAATAAATAAATAAACTTTTAAAAAAAGAAGAAAAGCTTTTTCGTTGATGGGAGCTAAACTGTATTTTGGCATATGGGATATGAAATAGGAAGAGAATAGGGAAACTGGAGAAGATATTCCTGATAACAAGATAGTTATTTATTCAGTTACTTATTCAGAGAATATTTTTGAAACAACTGAACAGAAACATAAAGATCATGACGTGAAAGTAGGATGAAGAAGAGGGTTTGTTTTAAAGAATAAATGGAAAATAAGATTGCATGAAGTAGTGGTAGATGACAATAAAGATTCAACTTTATATATCATCTTGCTACCAAAGTGGAAAAAAATGGGGGTGCCTGATTGGCTCAGTCGGTTAAGCATCTGACTTTGTCTCAGGTCATGATCTTGTGGTCCATGTGTTTGAACACCGTGTCAGGCTCTATAGTGACAGCTCAGAGCCTGGAACCTGCTTTGGACTTGTGTCTCCCTCTCTCTCTGTCCCTTCTCCGCTCACACTGTCTCTGTCTCTCTTTGTCAAAAATAAATAAACATTAAAAAAAAAAAAAATTTTAAAAGTGGAGAAAAATAGTTAAGTTCATAAGCAGAAACTGGAAAAAATTTGTGCCAACCACGAAAACACTAAAATCACTTGCACAGGTTTATTTCACATTGATCCCTTGATCTACACTCTTCTGTATCATTATATTTGTATTTTAACATAAAACAAATATAATCACCTTGAAAAAAAGGCATGTGTATATTATAGCATGTTTCCATTCCAAATACCATTTTAAGGTTTTCTTTTGAAATCAACCTCATATATGTTTTAATTACCCTGCTCTGAGAATTTTGATTCTTATCTATCCACTCTTAGAGATAACTTGCTCAAAACGCTCTGAGAGGCTCTTACGCACTCCTTGAAGAAACATAAAAAAGTTAGGTGGGCTTTTAATCACATTTCTGCTATCTTCTTTAAGATAGCCAAGTCAAGGGACAGCTTGGTGGCTCAGTTGGTTAAGTGTCTGACTCTTGGTTTTGGCTCAGGTCACCATCTCATGGTTCGTGGGTTTGAGCCTAGCATCAGGCTCTGTGCTGATGGCACAGAGCCTGCTTGGGATTCTCTTTCTCTCCCTCTCTCTCTGCCCCTCCCCTGCTCACACTGTCTCTCTCTGTCTCTGTCTCTCTCTCAAAATAAATTACAAAGATAAATTAAAAAAGATAGCTAAGTCAAAACTTAGGACAAAGATGCAGTGTCTTTCCTGTTTATTTTCCAAAGGAGAGGTACTTTTTTACTTTTTTACTTTACTAGGAAGCCCACTTCTTCCCTGGATGGGTTAAAAATAAATGAAAGTAAATAGTATTAAGTGAAATAAACGTCTGAGTAGCTATGGAGAACAAAGTGAGAACAGGAGCTTGTTCTCCCCAGAGGAATGGAATACCTCCCGCTATTGAAAAGAGGAGGTCCTACCAGAATAGCAGGCAATGTTCAATCTTTTTTGGTTAGCTGCTGCAAATATTTCACACATTGTTCATTTGACACACCCCTGAAGACTTCCCTTCTCTTTCTGCCCCTTCTCCACTTTCAACCATCAGCTGTCTGAGCTCTGCTAATCACAAGGGTGAGGTTCAACTAGTGAAAACATGTTGCAGCAAGAGGAATGTACCCTTTGCCCTTTTCCTTTTCTTTGCCGGCCTCTCTAATATAAAATTTCCATTGTTGCAAAGCCAGGAACCGTTTTTCGTTTTCTCCATCAGTGAAACCCACCGGGTTATTTTCTTTTGCTTATGGCAAAAGAAAAAAAACAAAACAAAACAAAAAGCCAAATTACCTTGGCGGAAAATGACTCTTCAGCAGCCTTTTGTGAAACTAATGAAGCCACGGCTTTCCCATTTCCTATAATCTAGCCTCACTCTTGGGATCACCCATACTATGTTGGACTTAAATGGTTTTCTGTTTTTGCCCTCTCTTGGCAAGTAACTCTTAGATGCATTGCTGCATACTGTGGATGGGCTCCAGCAATCCTAAGCCATTCTTTTGATGTATTGGAATAGTTTCTTTTGACTCCCACAGAGTAGCCATTGGAAAAGGTCTGTTTCTTGTACTTAACTCTTGGACAAGTGGATGACTGCTGGCAACATTCTCAATTGATTTGATAGGATTTACATTTAGGTAGCACTAGTTAAGAAGGAATTGGGGGGTGGGGTGGGGTTGGAAAGGGTGCAAAACCTACCTGCAGGTGACTGTGCTTTGTTTTAGAAGACAGTTATGACACCACCTTGCTTACTTCTAGGTTCTACTCTGGTACTATAACTAAGCAAATTAAACCTGTATCTCCAGAGAGAACTCAGTCTAACCCCAAACTGTTAACATTTCTGTGCTTTACAAGTGAGAGCCAAATTGTTTTCCCTGTTGTGGTTTCAAATACTTTTCTCTGCAAAATACGTTTTTTGCTTTTTAATAGTAGATCATTAAGCTAAAGTATAAATACATCTCTCATAAAAATGACCTCCTATATCTCACTGGGATGAAAACAAACAAATGGTCTGATCAGATTTTAAATAACTGTGAAATTTTGATTATATGAATAAATAGGAAAAAAAGGTATTTACCTGCAATAAAGAAAAAATAGTGAAAAATAATTTTACTAAAGAATAGATTGTCCAGGGGCACCTGGGTGGCTCAGTCCGTTGAGCATCCAACTTCAGCTCAGGTCATGATCTCACGGTTGGTGAGTTCCAGTCTCATATCAGGCTTATTGCTGTCAGAGTGGAGCCTGCTTCAGATCCTCTGCCCCTCCCCCATTTGTACTCTCCCCGTGGGGGTGGGGTTGGGGTTGGGGGGGGGGGTGGAGAATGGATTGTCTACTGAAATAGTATCTTCCACCCAGCTACCTATATAGTTTATTGTGAGAATGAATGGGATGGATTTTGATGTCTATTTATAACTATGTTTTCATCTAAAAAAAATGAGTTTTATTACTCATTCAATATCTAATTATTACTAGTGAATTTTAGGGCATGGTAAAAAATGTGTACAAATCTACCCTTTATGTGGGTAGAGACCAGTGATTATTTCCGAAGAAGACTCTAAGCACTTACAATGAAGTTAATGCCTATTAATCATATCCATAATCATGGCTACATCTTGCTTTTCTAGAACTTCTTATGTTGTTAGATAGTTAAATAAAACTGAAGCTGTCAGATGAGTAAACGTATTTATTTATCAGAAGTCTCGAGAGGCAGAAAGATGAAATGTAGGCTTAATAAAGCAGAAGGAAGAAGTAAAAATAAAAACAAGCTGAGGGACATCTCTCCTTGAACATCTCTGACCTAACATCAAAAGAATTTGCAGGATAGAGTTCTCTTTGAATAAAACTGGTCTAATTGGCATCCCTATGCCTTTTACTTTTTTTTTTACAAGAATTTTTTAAACATTTAAATTTATAATCACTCTTAAGAAGTACAATATTTACAGAGACCAGAGTTGAGGCTTTCGATACAGACATGTAATATTTGTGGCTAGGTCTGCAGGGGTCAGGACTGGTATATTTATTGAATCAGAATATGGCAGAAATATAGTTTTCAGTCATTCATTATTTCAAGAATTCACTTGACTATCTCTCTACTTCTAGTGTGATGGGATGGAATATCCTTGGCTTATTTAGAGGAGTTTGGGTTGTAATTTTCTAAAATTACACTATATGTTCAGCTTTACATATAATTTCACATTGTCCCACAGAGGGTTTGTGTCTCTGTACATTTGCTTTCAGAGCTCTGGTGGAAAGCTGCTATTTGGATTTACCTGTACTTCTTAGTGCCTCCTTTTCTCACCTGCAGAGTGGGTGTGGAAATGGTACTTCAGGAGGTTTCTGTGAGGATCAGGTACACTGTGACATGCAAAGTACTCAGGACACTGCCTGACACTTAATCAATAGTAGCACCGCTTTGTCTTTTTATTGTTCTCCTTGTTACTACCATTATTTTCTTTGTTTTGGTTTTGGTTTCCCGGGGACTTCTAGCCACAAACGAATGAATTGTGTGTCATGGCATTGTCTGCCTCCCCCAAGTGTAAGCAGGACTTTGGCACAGGCTCTTAGCCAAGACTGCTGGATATTACTACCTTCTTCAAATAATAGCAGAAGTTTCTTGCTACTGGAAAAAGATATTCGAACAAGCAAGGAGCATATGTCCCCAGCTTTAATACACATATTATGCTTTTAAAATGCAAAGGGAGAGGAGAGTGGCACAAGTGAATTTATTAGCAAATGTTCCCATTATGAGAACTAATCATAGCTTAAAATCCTAAAATTGGATATCCCATATAGCCTACATGTTTCTATCTCCCTAAAGTCTTTTTGCATTTTATCTCAATTTGTTTTTTTAATAATTAATTAATTAATACTTTTTCTGTGTTCTCATGACTTCCTGCTGATGCTAAGAGCTCAAGTGTGGATCAGAAGGTCTGGGATTTATTTCCTGCTCTACCACTTGCTATCTCTTTAGCCTTAAGCTGCTTAAGTTTTCCTTATCTGTACTCACTCTCAAAAACTTGTATAAGAATTCTGTATTTGAAAGTGATTCCTGAACTGTGAAGCTCTAATGAAATGTAAAGTAGTAGTGTTATTATCAGTAATAATATTTAGCATTAAAAGAATGGCAGAAATCCTCTAAGGCCTCGGCTTCTAACATTGGTGGATGGTGGAGGAGACTTGGTGTGAAGTTGGGAGGACTAGACATAGGTGGGGCCAGCTCAAAAGACCGGAATCGAGGCTTTATTCGTCATACAGAACACATGATTGCATGTCTTGGTTTCCTGAAATATAAAGTGATAGGATTGTTTTAAGGGTTAATTGAGGTAACAATTGCAAAGGACATAGTGTAAAGCCTAATGTTCAGGAAACAGTAAGAGTTAGCATTACGTCTGCCATTTAATAGCTGCATGACTTTCTACTAACCATTTAGTCTAAGATTGTTTCCTCATTTAAGAAACAGAATAATAATTGCCATCTCGTAGGATTTCTGTAAAGACTATATAAATTATAGCACTTAGCACAACCCTTGGTATATATTATGTTTATTAAACGGTAGCTGCTACTATCGTTATTATTTTTAGTAGTGGTTAATTAGTAGAAGTGGCAGCAGCATTGGTGTTGTGCGTGGCCCTGGGCTTGCACTGGAGAATACTGCACGTTAGTGTGGAGAGATCGATCTGAAAAGGTAAACTTAGCCTTCCTATCAGGGGACAGTCAGCATATTTAGAGTTTGAATTTTTATCTTGAGGACTATAATGAGCCATTGAAGGATTTATTTTTTAATCACAGAACATAATTGATTTGTGCTTTAGACAGTGGAGCGAGGTAAGAGCAAGAAATACGGAGACCTGTTAGAAAGACAATGCAGTCTTACATGAAGGAAATGATGTTTGTCTGAAACAAGATTAGTAGCAGTGGAGACAGAGAAAAATCAACAGATGTGAGAGAGATGTGGGAGTTGGATTAACAGGACCCAGTGATGGATTCTATGGGAAGAGAGGAGCAGCAGCTGGAAATAAGGATGTTGATTTGGCTGTGAAAAGAAGGAGCAGACATCAGGAATTTGACCACTTTGACCACTAAGACCCTAACTAAAGCTTCTCCTGGAGCCATCTTGGAAAGAACTGGATGCTCTCCTCCTTCAAAATGCATCTTAATGAAATTTTTTCTAAGTTGGAGGATATGTATTCTGTTATTACATTCATGCTGATGAGAAGTTTTCATGAGATCCTTGATTTCACCTGAAAAAAAAAAGTAGTAATTTTCTCTCTATGACATACACCAGGCTCAAAGATTGCCCCGACAGAGCCACGCGGGGTGTATATAGTGTTCATTATGATATCCTCATCCCACAACTAGCACACTTTGATTTACCTGATTGTAAATGAAAACCATCCTACCAGATATACAACAGTATGTGTTTATTGAGTGCATACTCACAGCCCTGTGCTGAATCCCGAGGGTCAGGACAGGGTGGTGTACAAAGAAAAATTAGAAATGAAATAATTTTAAGGAGCTTATAGTGTGGAAGGGATGAGAAGACATGTAAACATGTAATTACAGATAGGAAGATGGTGATTCTGGGCTCAAGAATATATATATTCTACATCCTCTTTTATGCTACTTAACCTGTGTTCACATGTATATCTCCTACATAAAACTATGAGCTCCTGGAAGGTAGAGACCATCTTATTCACTTTGTATTCCCTTCCCCTCAGTCTAATGTAGCTCCTGCAGTAGATCTGGGATCTTTCTTCCTTCCTTCTTTTCTTTCTTTCTTTCTTTTGAACAAAAGGTATAGAAACAGGGCTTCAAAATGTTGTGGGTAAGGTCCTCACTTGACTCAGAGGAAGAACAGATTTTAAGGAAGGGTTCAAACATACAGGGTAGAAAGTTGGAGGACTTTAGTCAGTCACCATGTTTAATAGATGACTCTAAAAAATAGCATTCCAATGAACCTGGAGAAGAGGTAAATAATTGGAAGAAGAAGCATCTTTTTCTCAATATGAAGAACAGACTGGTCCAACTAAAGAAGAGTCAAATGCATTATGTTTAGGGAAATTTATTATGTACAAGGAAAAGTCCAGAGATTTTCTGTGCAATAAACTTTGACCAATGGCCATGTATTCTTAGTTACCACCCTCTAAGAATACACATCTCAATCAATCCCTAGCTTGCTTCATAAAGACGAGTTCTTGTTGTCTACTAATAATAACGATTCTTTTCAGAAGACTACACCTAGCAAGTAGGAAACCAAGGATTCCACATTCCAAAAATTAGGATTTCTGTAAAGACTGTATAGCTCTTAGCACAACACTTGGTATATATCGTGTTTATAAAATGTGGCCAAGGACAGGGAGGTATCGAGGAATAAACCTACCCACAATAAAAGAAGAAAATAAGTTAGCCAAGAAGCAAACTTTGGATTTAACTCTTAAAGTCCTTAGGGGAAAAGTTAAAGGTGCTTCTGCTTAAAAACTTAAGGAGTTTTCATATCTGAACGACTTTGCCCAGAATTTTGTTTATATGCATATTGTATACCCAAAAACATTCACTTTAAGAAAGACTTTCCTCATATTTTCCTCTATCTTTAAACTGCTGTGATTCATTTAAACTGCTGTATTTGTTTTATTTCCAGTGCACTCCCAAATGTGGTCCGGGATTCAAGCATCGGATTGTTCTGTGCAAGAGCAGTGACCTCTCTAAAACATTCCCAGCTGCACAGTGTCCAGAAGAGAACAAACCCCCTGTCCGTATCCGCTGCAGTTTGGGCCGCTGCCCTCCTCCTCGCTGGGTGACTGGAGACTGGGGCCAGGTAAGACAGTGCAGCAAGGGGCTCCTGCTGAAGCAGCACTTTGAGACACTTGAGTTTTCTGATTGGGTCATTATAAGGGCTCCAGAGATGAGAAACACGACACAGAAATCTGGGTATAAGATAAAGTATGAAACAGTGCATGAGCAACAGTCACACATAGACCCACTAGCTGTGTTTCTCCTGCACCCACACGCTTCCTACTTCTACCTACTCCTTGGGGCTTACCAATGTAATTTAAAATTAAAAGAGAAATAGTCTGTATGGCCAGATATTTGAGCAAGCTAACAAAACTTTGGGTTCTAGTCCCAACTCTCTCAGCTACTTCAAGAACAAATCTGTTAACCCCAGTGTCTTAACTTTCCTACTTGCAAAAGTAGCTCCTCTTAACTTCACAGAAAAGGTATGGGGGTTCTAATTAGCTTGATAATGTGATTGACAGTCTTTGAAATATTATCAATATCTATTATTCAATGGATTTAGCTGATGGACATCATGAATTGGGAAGCCAGTATAAAGGGCTTTTGGTCTGTATTTTTACATGAGGTTCATTTGCATTTTATGTTCTAATTCCTATTTTTTTCTTTCTTCATTCTCACTTATTTTTAAACTGTGTTATCTTAGTGAAGGCCACCTTAAATCCTTTTACAACAAATCGATATATTTGGATACAAGGAAAATTGAGTATTATTCTTTTGAATGTCAAAAAGGAAATCTATTAGATTACATTAAAAATAATGTTCCACAAAGGTAATTTCTAGACAATCAATGCCCTTTTCCTGTGGTTTTATAATTAACCTTGTAGCTAGTTGTTTTCTAATATCTGAGACCCAAATAAATCATGGCACATAACTATACCAGTATGATTTTGTGTGATCTCTGGACTGACTGGACCTGTCATTACTTATTAAAAATGGCATTTCATAGAAGTAGCTAGCAAAATTCTGGACAACCCTCAGTATTTCTACAGTATAGCAGTATCTACCGACCTCTTTTGTTATAGTTGGGAAAGGGCAAAGGTTTTCAGTCTCCATTAATGCAAATAAATATATTTGCTCTATACTCAGCTAGCCCTGTGGGGAGACAAAGTCAGTGTGATCATAAAATAATTAATATTTGCATGTGTATAACAAATAATAATTTGCATTTGTATAGCATCATTTAATTCATAAAGTACTCAAGTGGAATACACATGATAGGCATTGTAAGCAATTATGTGTTTCACTGTGGAAGTGTAACCATTTCAAAATATGGAATTGATATGGTGTTAAAGAATAAGTACAGACATGCCCTCATAATTTTGATTTAAACCATGGAGGCATTTCCTTCCTTACATATTCTTTGTTGCAATGCACTGTCATATAAAGGTCGGTTGAAAGTTTTCGCATGTGAGTGATTTCACCAAATTTGCAGTAATCAATTTCAGGTTATTCTTTTAAATGTTGTCAAGTCCTTTTCTTCTCATCTATATTTTAAATTCAGTTTTCTAAAATTAAAATTAACTGGTAAAAATACATTTTCAAAGACACTTTAATACATTTTATGGTGCATTTGTTTGTCATTCTTTATTTAGGAATTTTAAAATAAAAGTGTCTGTCAATATCCTTGCAACTCCTGTAAGTGTTTTGAGAGTTTTTACAGACAAATTCAATAGGGCCTCAGTTTGTTAACCTTGTAAGCATCACCATCGCCTGTCTCGGCACTAGCTCATCTCCTTGATCTCAGATCTCACAGGCTTTGCGGGCATTCTGGGTGGCAGACCCAAAGAAAGATCCAGCTTCATGGTTCAGCCTGGACAGCTGATCGGTCCCCACTGAGACTAAGTCACTCAGAGAGTAACTTCAACTGTAAAGTAACTGAATCCCTGAGTAGATGAAAAAGGAGAGGGAGGCATACTGCTTGGCTCACATTTGTGTGACTAACAATACCTTAGAAAACTCAAGGTAATTATTTAAGCTCTTTTATTTTTTTTAAAACTGGTTGCCATCACAATCCCACACAGCAGTCACTGCTGTTTTACTGAACTCCTATTTTGATCACATTCACAGCACTCCAGTGGACCATCAGCTTGTTTGCCATAGGACTGTAATAAATAGGGAGCAAAAGTGATGTCCCAGCACTAGAATCCCTAATTACTACTTCCTCATGAGGGTTTTCTTATTACACTCCTGTTATAGTTCACCTAATTGGAAGTGTTAGAAAAATAGCCCAAGAAATCTCTTGTTTTCTAGGAACTATATTGCTTCCATTTTCAAAGGTAATAACATGTTCTTTGAATTTTCAAATGAATTCTACAGTAGAATGACTTAATCATATATCTCTCCAAGATGAACTTCATATGGACTTTAAAAGCTAATATATATGGTATTTGGAAAGATATCTTTTTACCTCCTGAAAATTGTTGAATTTTGTTTCTCTCTGTGTCTTTCGGTTCAGTGTTCTGCTCAGTGTGGCCTTGGACAGCAGATGAGGACTGTGCAGTGTCTTTCCTACACTGGACAGGCGTCTAGTGACTGTCCAGAAACTGTTCGGCCTCCATCGATGCAGCAGTGTGAAAGCAAATGTGACAGTACCCCCATTTCCAATACTGAAGGTGAGTTTCCCATGGACAAAGGGCCTGCGGCCTCTAATGACTCACCTCTGGTGGCTCCCAGGGTTTGAGGAGCCCCTTAAAGCCACTGTTGTAGTATAGTTCATGTAGAGCATTTGTGAAAGTTGCATGTGTAGTGGATATGTGATAAGGAAACCTACATTTTTTTCCCTGACTACCTGACCTTGTTAAGTCACTTAACCTTTCTGGAGCTAAATTAGCTTATCTTTATAATGAGAGATTGGAGTAAGTAACCTCTAAGGTCTATGTTTGACCTAGCATTCTATGTTTGACTTGTGCCAGAAATACAGAGATGATGTCTAATGAACCACATTTTGAATTTAAAGTTCTGTTTCTTTTCTGTTTCTTTTTGGATTTAACAATGGATCTCTACCATCATGAAGATTAAAATTCATGCTTGTTGTACATATAATGAAAGCATATATTTGAAACTATTTATTTCAAATGCTAGTTTTCTTATTGTAGAAAAGAAGAAAAAGATAATTATATAGCTGTTTATAGAGGAGCACAAAGGTCTTTATGCTCTGAAATTTCTCTTTTTTTTTAAATTTTTTTTTAATGTTTATTTATTTTTGAGAGTAGAGACAGAGCATGAGCGGGGAAGGGGCAGAGAGAGAGGGAGGCACAGAATCCAAAGCAGGCTCCAGGCTCTGAGCTGTCAGCACAGCTGATGCGGGGCTCAAACCCACGAACCATGAAATCATGACTTGAGCCGAGTTGGACGCTTAATCGACTGAGCTTCCCAGGTGCCCCTGAAATTTCTCTTTCTTATGTATTGGGAAATCTGTTTATTAATAGCAGTTGCCAGCCCAAATCCTGAATTTTCTTATATCTTATTTAAACAAATATACTTTGCTTATTCAGTTAGGCATTCATTTAAAATTTCCTGAATGCCACTATGTAAGAGGCACTACAACAGAAATCATGGGAAATATAGAGACAAATATGGCATAGTCAGGAAATTCAGACTGCCTTGCCATATGAAAATAGAGGCATGCCCAAATAAATGCACAAGAACATCTGGAACCACTAATTTAAATTATGTAAGAAACCTAGTTACGGGGCTCTGCTTAAAACAAAAGTAGAGAACTATCCTGAAAATAATTTGTTAATATTTTTCAAATGAAAATTATGTGCTCATGAGCCTCTTAAAAAGAGATCTATCCCTTTTGACTAAATTTCTCCAACTTAAAGGATTTTTTAAAAAAATTACATTCACTATTGGGGCACCTGGGTGGTTCAGTCAGTTAAGCATCCGACTTCAGCTCTGTGCTGACAGCTCAGAGCCTGGAGCCTGCTTTGTATTCTGTGTCTCCCTCTCTCTCTGCCCCTCCCCTATTCACACTCACAAAACTAAATAAACATTGAAAAAAATTTTTTTAATTACATTCACTATTTTAAAATATTTCCTTAGATATTTTATTTTAGGAAGAGTAATCATCTTGTATGACAGGATACAGAGAAATTATTTTGCAAATATACCGGTTTTTATATCTAAGCCTCAACATGAAATCCTTTTTGTATAATTTACTCTTTCAGATAAGTATGGCCTTATTGTACATTAATTCAAAATCATAATTTTAATTTGCAAAATCTGTGGCTCTGATGTCATCTACTTTTTTGTCCTTTCGGTAATGGTCATTCTAGAAATTGAGCTTTTCTTCTCTTGAGAAGGACTCAAAATCCATGATAAACCTATGTATTTTCCTTAGCAAAACAATCTCTTTTAAATAATTTAAATAAAAATATCTGTCTTGTGTAAGACTGCATCAAACAATTATAAATTGTTTATCCATTATAAATTATTAGCAGTCAATCACATAGGTCTGAAGGTCTGTTTTTCTTTCTGAGTTGGAAGATAAAAGGTTGAGGTGGAAAAGAGGATATAACTATCATATTAAATTACTCTGTATTGGGTATTATGGGTAGGCCCTTTATATTTATTATCCACCTTATATATCTCATATACATAAATCTCTGTGTGTGTGTGTGTACGCACGCACGCACGCATGTTATAATTATGTCAGCAACCGTCCAAGAGTTGGTATTACTGATGAGGAAACTGAGGCACAGAGAGGGATAGTGACTTGCCCAAATGATAAGACTAGGAAGTAGTAGACGCAGGATTTGAACTGAGATTTGGCAGAGCCCAAGGGCATGTCAGTTTCAACTACATTTTTATGCTATTCTTAATTCACTTATTAAGTAGGGTATTTTAACATGAAAACAGAGCTTCTGGTTATGAAGTAGCAACTCTTTCTAGCATGACCATCATCCTGATTCAGTAGATTCAGGCTTAGTCATTGCTGAAAGAATTGGTTTTTTAACATGCTCACAGCAATGTAGATGTTGAAATTATGTATATAACTTTATTTTAGGCATTTTAGTGATTTCTCCAAAAACTTTTCTGTAGTGGTTAGTTATTATACAGAAGCATCATAGCTGGTGATGCAAAGTTTTCAGAGTGGGCAAAATATCATTTGAAACTGGACTTATTTCTGCCTTAAAGAAATTCTCTTAAAATAGATAGGTGTTAATCTGAGGTTTCTTAAATTATTTGTAGAAGCACCTCATGGTCATTTAATCTGCCTGGCCAAATCACTTTTCATTAATATTAATTTGAAGTAAGCAGTCAAGACAGAATTTTTAGCCCATTTAGTAAAGAAGGAAACTTTTAGGAAATTATTAATCCTGCAAAATATGACTAATCTTAGAACTGTTAGTCCCTAAAGCTGCTGAGTCATTGAAAAGAAAGAGGATCACTCTCTTACAAAATTAGATTTAAAGTGGATATGTCTGTCATAACTTGTTTTGTGTTCTCTCTGGCTTCCCAGTAGCATATGTTGAATACATTTAAATACCTGAAACTATCTGTTCATCTCATCGGCAACTAATTATTGAATGCTTGCTGTGGCCAGCCTCTTCCATTCATTATGGAAAATTCAAATGCATTTGTAAGTTCATAGTCTTACACGGAAGATATTTAAAAAAAAAAAAGAAAAGGAAGGAAGGTAGAAGGTGTTATGTGGAGCAGTTGACACGGTGCTACAAGTTCAAATGGAGGACAAGTGACTTTAACTTTTTAGATCAAGGCAACTTCATAGACTAAGTGATCTGTGAACCTGCTGTAATGTGTACTTGGAAAAATAACCCATGTATACCCTGGGAAAAGAGGATGAAACAGTTGAATTAAATCGTAAGTTATCATTAACAGAGATATGAAATGGACAGATAATATGGATTTCAAAAGAGAAGAGGCTCTTACATGAAAGTAATGTAAGAGTAATCTAATATGGCTTCTGGGAATCAGGTCAGGGAGAAAAGAAATGCCTGTTGCTAAGGGAGAGTTGGGAGGGAAATCTGGTAGTAAGGGAAGGAGTAAGCTCTGGTTGCTGCAGGAGGTTGAAAGAGGACTTCCTATTCCCCTTCTCTTGACTCTTAGTGGGAGGCTACTGTGAAACCAGTTCAGGTCTACCCCAAGACAGAGTTGGACCAAGGGAGATCCCTTGGGATCTAAAATACAGTTTTTTAGTGGGGTCTCTGTGGGTGAAATGGACCATTGATAGAATCTTGAGAATTGTTTTAACAACCACAGTTTAGGAATTGGTTCTCCTTCTAACATTTTATTATGTTACATTTCAAATGTAACAGCAAGGTTGAAAGAATTTTACAATGAACACCCACTATCTGGATTCCAACATTAACGTTTTCCTGAGCCGATTTATCACATATATATCTATCTGTCCATCCCTCAAGGTAATGGCTTTTAAATAATGTCCTCCATTCACCCAACCATTATTATTTACTTAGCAAGCCAGGGCCAGCAAGACAAAGGGCCAGGCACTAGACTATGAAAGAAATATGACAAGGTCTTTGTCCTCAAAGGGAGCACAGTTTAGCAGGGGTGGGGACAAATAATTTTCACAGTATAGGCAGTACTCTAACAGGGTAGAAAGAAATTACCGTGAGTACACAGAAGAGGGGTAATCAGTAGAAGCATCGTGGAGAAGACAAGCTTGAGTAGGGCACTGGAAGGTATGAAACAATTTGCCAAGAACACATGGAGATGCTGGGATTCCTGGCAGAGGACGTGTGTATTCAGTCATCAGGGCATGTAGGTAGTTCAGTATGGGTGCAGTGGGTTGGCAGATGAGAGGTAGTGGAGATGTGGCTACAAAGAGAGAGAGTCAGGGATTTGGTTTTGGAGGGCCCTGAATGTCGTGGAAGGCAGTTAGGACTCTTAAGTTCTAGGGAATAAGCGAAGGAAATTGAAGAGTGACATGCTCAGGGTGGCAGGAGTGTGGAGGGGCAGAGGGAGGTCAACTTTGTGTGGAGGAAGAGTTAGAACATTATTCTAAGTGTCCAGGCTTGAGATGATGAAGGCTTGAATCAAAGTAGATAGAGTATAAATCAAAAGGGGAGTAATTAATTGGAGAAAAAGAATAAAATGGAAGGGAGAATAAAAAGAACCTGATGAACAGTTAGACACAGGGATAAGAGATTTGGAGGTATCCACTATGACTCCCATGTAGATTTTGGTTTCTGGATACTATAAATCACGATAAGGCAGTTAGGCTTCTATAGGGAAGTTAAAAATACATTCATCCCCAAATGCCATAATAAAATAATGGAATTTGAGTAAGATTTTTTAAAATAAAAATAAAATAAACAATGGAAAGAGATTGAAGAAATGGAGTGAGGTTAAGACAACAAAGAATAATAAGAGAAATTCGGAGGTGGAACATCAAGATATTAAAAGTAAATAGTCAGGGGCACCTGGGTGACTCAGTCAATTAAATGTCCGACTTTGGCTCAGGTTATGATCTCGTGGTTCGTGAGTTTGAACCCCACACCCTTTCTGCTGTCAGCACAGAGCCGACTTCAGATCTTCTGTCTCTCTGCCCCTTGCCTGCTCATGCTCTCTCTCTCTCTCTCTCTCTCTCTCTCTCTCACACACACACACACACACACACAAAGTAAAT